AGGGAGGAGGTTGTGACCCGATCCGACTCGGGCGTGGAATCGCCCTTCTTACCCCGCGCGGGAGCAACGCTCACTGCCCACAGCAGCTGCCCCGAGTGTTCACTGGACCATCGATCGGGGAGGGCGGCGGAGCAACGCTCACTGCCACAGCAGCTGTGCCCCGAGTGTTCGCTGGACCATCGATCGGGACGGCGGCGCACGCGCGGTTCGTTGTTGCGCTCACTCGCTTTGTCAATCATAGGAGCGAGTGTATGCGGCGGCCATCGCAGAATGCGGGGGTTTTCTCGGACACTCACAACTTTGAAACACACCCACACACCTAGTCTCCTCCGGTTTCGGCTTACGCTTTGGGCGGGGGCCGCGCGAACGCGAGCCCCCACTGCCACAAATTACGACGTGTATGCCCTCCGTAGAGAGATACTAGAGCCGCCCGCCCCGTCAGTGCAATGGGCCGGGCTCCTCTAGGCCATCCACCTTCCTGATCATGGATCGACCCCGCCCAGGTAAGTGCCCTCCCCATCGCTCCTCCGCACGCTTCTACCACCCACCCACACCCCGCCGCTCCAACCCGTGTGGGACATTCTCACCCACCCTCGCTCTCCTGCTCTCCCCCCGCCCCCTCACCACGCCTCCACCTCCATTTCTCACTCCCTCTCCCTCCCTGCTACAACCAACATCTCGCCTCAAACCCACCCCATTGCTCCCTGTCCCCCACAAACCCCATACCCGCACCATCACCAACATCATACAACACTCACTGGCTCACTGGAAGAAGAACAGGCAGAAGAAGAAGAAGAAGAAAGAAGAAAGAATAAACCAACCAACCAACCAAACACGCACGCACGCATCAACCAACCAATCAATCAATCAATCAATCCATCCATCCATCCATCCATCCATCCATCCATCCATCCGTCCGTCCGTCCGTCCGTCCATCCGTCCATCGAAAATGAAATAAATAAGTAAAAAAATATGTAAATAAAGACACTCACATGAATATACCCTAGGTAACTACATGCCACGCTTTCCCATATTTTGGGGTATTTTGTTTGACCATGAGTAGTAGCACCGGTGGAGCCCCCACCCTTTCCAGTCTTCAAACCAAGAAAACCACGGTATTCAGCATGGTTGTTTTGGTGTTGTGTGGTTGCAAAATGCAAGAGAGCCTGGGGGCGATGATGATTTGGAGGGCGGGGACTTTGATTTGGTGGTGTGGCGAGTATGTTGATATGTTGAAGTGGCAGTGGGTGGGTGGTGAATGCCCCATAGCGTGTGCAGGAGGGAGGGCGGAGGTGGGGGTAGAAGGAGGGCGGGGCGGGAGGGAAGAGGCATACCTTTCTCGGCCTTTTGGCTAAGATCAAGTGTAGTATCTGTTCTTATCAGTTTAATATCTGATACGAGGCTCATCGAGCCTCACGATATTAATCTAATTTATCTCGGGTGCGGGCCCATCCGGCAGCTTGCTGCCCGGGCCAGCGCGCGTCGCCTTGGTCTTGCACTACCTCCTCGGCCGGCGCAGCCCATTTCCCTCCGTTTCCCGGAGGGCCCCCTCTACAATGCAAAGAGCGAAACTGGAAAGAGTGTGCGCGTCAGTGGACCCCGAACGTCGACTGTGGGGATGGGTGGAAGAGCCAACCAGCCTTGCCACGGCCCGCCTGTGCTGGCGCTGGTGACGCTCGATTTTGAGTTGGACGCCGCCTCCCCACCCCGCGGGGGCCACCTTGTCAGCCACACGCGGTCCCGTCGTCCCGTCGCTTTTTTGTATTTCCCCCGCTAACCCACGCCAGCCCATCCCACACCCCTGGACGCTGTTCAGTTACGAGGTGGATCCCAACTAACGCCGTGCCCGGGCTCTACAAACACACGTCATGCAAGCATGACGTAATGAATGAATGAACTAACAAACAAAACAAAACAAAACAAAACACAGACGGAGACGAAGAAGAAGAAGCAGCAGCAGCAAGGGGAAGCAAATAAAGGAATGAATAACAATAAACACAAAATGTCGAGAAAAATGAATCTAACCAAGTTTGGTTACATTTTGGTATTTCGATTTGTTTTCGTGTTTTTCTGTGTGTTTGTTATTAATTTTGGGGTATTGTTACATAATTGTCTGAAAAACTGTGTTCTTGAGTATTGGTGGAATTTGTTTTGTGGTTTGTGGCGTATGTTTGTTTGTTTATTTATTTAGCTTTATTTTTCGGCATTGCAGTTTTCATTTCTTATCTATGAAAACTTGATTTTGTTATTTTGTTTATTGTTGATGTCGTTATTATTGTGTTTTTTTTTTTTTTTTTTTTTTTTTTTGTGTTTTTTCTTGAAATACGCGTTCTCGTTCTTTATCACAGATGTCACTGTGCTTATTTTTATGTACCAGTGCATGCTTGTTATTGGTTGATTGATTTGTTTTATCGTGTTTTTGTTTTGTTTTTTCCTTCTCATTCTCATTCTCATAGCCTGTTGTCGTTTTCATGGTGGTGATGATGATGACGATGACGATGATTTCCTGTTTGTTTGAAAGAACACAGCTTCAAATTTCAAGATTTCCCTTTCTCTCTTCACTTGCCCGTTTCTTAGAATTGTGTTCATCCATTGATCCATGGATTTGAGTGGATCTGAGGGAGATGGGATGGTTTTGTGCCAGGAACACCCATGGTTGACTCCAACATCAACATACAGCGGTGGTGGGAAGTTGAGAGGGATACAGATTGCACGTCGGGTTAGTGGGCGGAGGAAGGGCAGGGCACGCGTCGGTCCCATACGGTTGGGTGGAAGAAGGGGCAGGGCATGCGTAGAAGAGCGTGGATGTTTGGGCGGGGGAGATATGGGGCCGGGCGCTCAGCACAGAGCGAACTATTCTTTCGCCTTTTACTAAAGAATACCGTGCGCTGGGCGCAACGACCGGCATAGCCAGAGTTTTTGGACTGCCCCGTTTGCGGGGCCCACCAATTGGAAGCACGAAGTCGGATTGTATGGGTAGCACGGAGAACAAGGGCACAAGGGCAGGGCCTCCGTGGGTGTGGGTTGGAGAAGTGTGCCTCCTGCCACACCCGAGAGTGGGAGAGAAGCGGCGACTCGCGGTCCGCGGAGGGGCTGGCGACGGGCCACACATCATCCGTGGGCATGGCATGCCGCGAGAAAAGGGGCGCGCGTGCGTGCGTTTGCCGGGAGTCGAACCCGGGTCCATTGCTTGGAAGGCAATTATCCTAACCGTTGGACTACAAACGCCGCGTCCGCCGGCGGCAGCACACCCGGACCACGCACCACAGGCCCACGCTCGGTTCCACCCACACGGCTGCGCGCTCACGGCGTCGTCTACTTGGCTCGTCACCGAGCTGTGTGCCACCTGCACTCCCCGGCAGTGCGCGGGGCCACGGTCCCGCCGCCGCTGCCGACGCAAACCACAGATCCGAGGGGAGAGCGACACAGGGCTGCGCACACTCCGAGCCATCCTGTTTGGGGTTTGTGCTTTGTGAGGTCCCGGCCTACGCCAGACCTTCCAGAAATTCTGGGGCGCCCTCGCGGGCACCGCAGGGGGGTTGGAAATAGTTTTCAACCAGCAATTGACGCGTCTCGGGTTTGCCTCACTAACTGCGTCATTGCCCCAAGCGCAAAGATGTCGTCTCCCTCCCCGCCTCCCCCCGCATGTACCTCCCCCGGGGGCTCGTCTCCTCCCATCGCTATGGGGCAATCTGCCCCCGACCCACCACTAAATCGTCACCAGGCGCCGCTGCCGGAGGCGACACACCGTGCAGCGCAACTGCCATTGGCACGCCCCTCACCCGCCATCGCGTGCTTCCCCTTCGCTGCACCACCAGCCTGTGCGCTAGGCCGTAACCTCATCCCATTTGCGCTCTCATCGGCACAGTCAGAGAGATCGGGGTCAGACGTGCGCCTCGCAAAATCCAACGCCCATCGCCCCTCCTCCCTCACAGCTCGCGCCTCGGAGGGAGGAGGTTGTGACCCGATCCGACTCGGGCGTGGAATCGCCCTTCTTACCCCGCGCGGGAGCAACGCTCACTGCCCACAGCAGCTGCCCCGAGTGTTCACTGGACCATCGATCGGGGAGGGCGGCGGAGCAACGCTCACTGCCACAGCAGCTGTGCCCCGAGTGTTCGCTGGACCATCGATCGGGACGGCGGCGCACGCGCGGTTCGTTGTTGCGCTCACTCGCTTTGTCAATCATAGGAGCGAGTGTATGCGGCGGCCATCGCAGAATGCGGGGGTTTTCTCGGACACTCACAACTTTGAAACACACCCACACACCTAGTCTCCTCCGGTTTCGGCTTACGCTTTGGGCGGGGGCCGCGCGAACGCGAGCCCCCACTGCCACAAATTACGACGTGTATGCCCTCCGTAGAGAGATACTAGAGCCGCCCGCCCCGTCAGTGCAATGGGCCGGGCTCCTCTAGGCCATCCACCTTCCTGATCATGGATCGACCCCGCCCAGGTAAGTGCCCTCCCCATCGCTCCTCCGCACGCTTCTACCACCCACCCACACCCCGCCGCTCCAACCCGTGTGGGACATTCTCACCCACCCTCGCTCTCCTGCTCTCCCCCCGCCCCCTCACCACGCCTCCACCTCCATTTCTCACTCCCTCTCCCTCCCTGCTACAACCAACATCTCGCCTCAAACCCACCCCATTGCTCCCTGTCCCCCACAAACCCCATACCCGCACCATCACCAACATCATACAACACTCACTGGCTCACTGGAAGAAGAACAGGCAGAAGAAGAAGAAGAAGAAAGAAGAAAGAATAAACCAACCAACCAACCAAACACGCACCCACGTTGTGGTGAATGTACTTAACGGTGACCGACTGAATTGCTGCTTCTTGGCGTTTTGTTGAAAGGGTGTTTGCTGTATGATGTCAAGTTCGGAAAGCTGGAATTTGTCTCTGCATAGCGAAGATGTGTTGTGGTAGGGTCTTGAGTGTTCTTTACGTTAGAACTGTTTTTATTCAGGTTGCTCAACGTGTCTTATTAGTGGAGTGTCATGTTTTTACAGTAGACAACGTACTTGTTATTTGAAAATGCTGAGGGTAAGAACTTGTCAATACCAGTTTAGAGGCAAGTCTTTGATATTTTCTATGCCCAACCACGGAGGTGCTGAACTTAATCACTTATTAAAGCTCACACACTATTAATACTGCAGCAAACCCTATTCTACCTAGTGGTAAGAACTGAGCGACAGGGTACACACACGTGTATTGTTATCAATCATTTTTTAATGATTTGTGGGTCAGTTACATGTGCTCCTGTTTCGTCCATTGGAATTTATGCTGTCGACGGGGTTCCTTGATTCGATAGTTGGTTCTGGTCAGAGGGTGCAGGAGTTGCAAACTCAACGGACGTTTCTTCGACCAGTGGTTGTCCCTCCTCGCCTTGGAATGCACCATGGGGCAGGGTGTGCTCGATTGGAGGCGGTGCACCCGCCAAAGGACTACTGTGTTCGATGTTGTTCCCAACCTCAGGTGCCTGCGGAGGTAAATCCACTGTCATGACGGGAGGGCTTTGATTCATGACATTTTCTGGAGGCAGTGTTGGATGAACAATGTTCTCAGCAACCTGGGGTGCAGAGGATGGTAACTGTGGAGGTGTCTGTGTGACCTCCTGTACGTTCCTTATGCTCGCTGTATTCTCGGCTGCAGAGGCTACTGCTGGAATGGGCACTGCAAGAGGCTCAACCACGGCAACATCGCCGGAGTCCGTCATAGTTTCTGCCGTTGCTGGCCTCTCATCCTGAGCTTTCAAGTTCACTTGGGTGCCTGCAGCACTGCACACGACACTGAAGACAGATCAGTCCTTAGAAACTTGGCAGTATAAAAAGTAGTAATTCTCATCCTGAATCAAATTTGAATATACAACAAGACGGCGGTAAACTCCAAGGTGGCTGTTGAGAGCAGCAGGAATTTAGTCAACGATTATTGATAATAATTGAGCGCTAACAGCGGTTTCCTGTCCATGGAAATAAGCGGAGCTAGAGGAAGATTTAAACCTAGGTTCCTGTGCTTGATAGAGGCTCGCAAGCTGTTGCTCGTGAGCAATTTTCAGTTGTCTTGCATGTTCATGACCACGTTGAACAGCACCCTCCATGATGACACATTGCTCTCTGGCCTTTCCTAACTCAACTCGCCACCTGTGAGCCTCTTGCAATGCAAGATCTCTCATCATGTTGGCAGCTACAACCTTCTCTTCCGCTGCCTTGATCTGTCGTCAAACAATCAATCAATCACATCAGATTAGCTTACAAAGTTACACTCAAAGAATGTACAAAACCGAAGAGAGCTCAAACGATTATCTAAGACGAGACTCAACCCTGGAAGACCCCATGAAAACCGCATAGAGCTGGCACTGTCTTCCACACTGTAGCAGATACAAGACAATTAAAGAAACCTCATCAGAAGCGCGTTGTAGCTCCTTCTTCAAGTGTTCTATTTCTGTCACGGCAACTTGACGTTCCTTGTCAACATAGTGAACGGCCTTAGCCGCTGATTCGGCAGCATCAGCCGTTTCAGAAAGTCGTTCAGCCAACTCCTTGATGGTCAGGTCTCGTGCCCTGAGGTCCCTCTGAAGTTGATTGAGTTCTTCATCTTTTACTCGCAATGTTTCCTGGTCATCAATGCACAACTTATGAACCCACAGAATTTAACATGCAAAAAAATAGATAACAACAGATCGATACATCCCCACAAAGCACATAATGCAAACCATGGCATTAAAAATGCAGTTTCCATTACAACGATTACCAAAGGAATGATATGGTCTTATCTAAGTTGGATGAAATTGCAGAAGCACAGAGGTCTGTCAACTAAAACTTGAGAATTAAGAAAGGAATAAAGTACGACAACCGATGAAACAAAAAAAATTACCACCGATTTCCAGCATATCAGACCTTTAGAATGATTGAGTTGTCGACGCTGTTATTAGCAGCAAGTGCCGAGCTTTGTGGGATTGCAACAGATGGCCTGAAGGACGCTTGCACATCCTTCATTGCCTCTTGAGCTGTGGCATTCGCAGCAGCGACTGAAGCAGCCACTGTTCCAAGTTTTGCATGGCCATTTCCACTCAATGAATTGACTGCCTCCTTGTGTGCCTTTAACACAAGCGCTGCAGCCCTGTATTTCACGCAAGTGTGCTATGTGCAAAAAATTAGACAACTTGAAGAAGAATGCATAATTGTTTTTGCACACACACACACACACACATATATCTATATATATATATATATATATGCTCTCTTCCTAAAAGATACAGGGTGATTGGTTCTTTACATAAAAGTTGCTTTCTCAATATAATTGTATACTACTGCGCAAGACATGGCTACATATTAAGAACACCGCAAACTATCAGAAATCACTCACCTCAAGGTTGCAACCCAAGCTCTCGCCGCAGCAGGTGTCTCTGCACAAAGGAATGATTCTTTCTTCTGGGAGGTGCCAATGTCTATCCAAAAATGATGCAAGTTAAGCAAACCGCACATTACATTCGCTTGCATAACCAGAACACACGTGGAACAGAGGAAACTAAATCACTTGAACAGACCGTTCGTAAGCAAACCCAATGAACTACTGGCTAGTCCTTTTAACCACTTAAGTAATAAGTTACTTGTTATCATTTTAGTTTACCAAAACCACAAACCTATTTTATCGCCATTCTGAACTAAAAGTTTTTTATCTTATGCAACAAATTTAATTTCACTTCCATTAGACGCTTTGATATCAAGGATACAGAAGCAACATCCGTCGTATTTCCTGTCTCCTCTGCAAAATCAAGCCGGAAGTTTGGCATGTCACAGAGTTCGTAATATTTACAGATACTAAAATAGTTCCGATTCAAAAATACCCATCGGTATAAGCTAGTGAGTATACAATTCACAATGACATGTTATGGTCAACAATAAATCCCACGATCAGACGAGTAATGTAAAAAGTTATTTAAGCACTTGCACCGAAGTCTTACTGGATATTCAAAGGTGAGACGGTAATTGTGCTGTCTGCATCAAAATGAATTAGCCCTCTTGGTGATGGATCACTTCTTTGAAACCTGCACGCATCCAAACAAAACAACGAGAAGCAACCTATAATTAATGAAAGTCAGAAGTTATAGCTGTCGTTACAATATGCAAATGCACGAATTATCGATTTGTCACTCGAAGGGCGGCAAGGAACATGGGTCATCTCAAGCTGGTACTCTTTGTTGAACACAGACAATCAAAATAACGACCCAATTCTAACCTGTACTCCATCCTCCCAGTTGAAGGATCTAACGTAAACCATCGCTGATTCCATTTACGCAGCTGCTCACACAGATCCTTAGTCAGCACATTCGAGTGTCACGACTATGCAATTACTCTTCAATCTGCTAAATGTGCTCGAATAACAGCAGCAGGAAGTACACAGCCACGTCAACTGCAGTGTCGGACAAGAAACAGGTGCTCCTTCAGTGAGCGTCTGACGAATTGCATGAATACTACTCAGACATACATCCCATTGGAAATAGTGCGACAAAATCGCATTCCATGTTGTTGCATCAATGCAGGGACATCCAATTGTTCACGAGGTTCGACGCTATCTATTGCCAGTTCAATACGCAAGCTTAATCTTCTCAACAAGATTTTCTACTTCGCACTGTTCTAATAAATAGGTAATACCACGGAAGCAAATTAAATTAAAACTGAAGATGGAAGAATATGCATTTTTGTGCTACGCCTTAATACTCAAGCTAAGATTATCAGAATGCGTTGCGCAATTGGACGTCCCTACAAAGCCCATAGTATTGGCGGTGATTACTCACAGCATTAATGTCACGGCTGATTCACCAGCTTCAATCCACAAAGTACACAATCAATCAATCCTAGGCGAGTGAGGGAATATTCTGTGACACATCTATGATTGCAACTAGTAATACAATCCTCATACTCCAAACACGAAAATCGACCCAATGTCAGGAAGGGAAAAAAATATACATGTAAAATAAAAAAAGAGAGAGACTCACTGTCTCCGACCGCTTAAGCAACGGCCCCTGCAGAAGCACGCTTCCAGAGCTAGCACTGAGCTGCTTCTTTATCTTCTCAAGCTTCGCCTTGAGATCTTCACCACCAGCCTGCCCACGCATAAACCAAACATCAATCCAACATTTCACTTCACCCTAAACGCAAAAAATCATCACAATACCCAACACCACCCAACAAATACCCAACATCCCAAACACTTACAGTCAACCCCAAGTTGTGAAAAAAATCACTAACAGCGACAATGGCACTGGAATCGTGCAAGACTCACAAACCCCAACGAGCTGGGCATCGAAACATGAAAACCCCACAGCGAGGGAACAAGTAAGGCTAACCTGAGACATAGCGAACCAAGTTGAGCGAGACGAAGCTCGGCCGTGAGGTCTTGAGATGGGGAATCAAGCACGAGCGTGCGGAGGTGAATTAGAACATGTCTTGGGGCAGGATCGGAGGTGCGAGAGGGTGGTGTAGGAATCGCGAGGAGAGAGCAAGAGGCTGGTCGACGATTGCTTTCTCGTCACTCTGGGTCTTGTTTTCGGTCGCCTTCGTCGTTGAGTGTCACAACATTTGGGTGTCCGCCAACTCAGCACTCTATACACAACGGGTTGCTGACGTGGCTGCCACTTTGGCATCCTCGTCACGCTAGACGGACGTGACGTGGTTGTCACATAAGCTCTCCTGGATGCGACCCACCACCGTGCTGCCACGGTAAGATTAGGGACTCGTATTCCGTTTGCTGATGCGATTTTGTATGTGTAGGTTTGTTGTTCAATAATGTTAGGAAAATTTTACGTGCTTGACAGAAAATAAAGAAAAATAATGATGGTGTTTTTTCCTTTTATTTATTTTTTAATTTATTGAGTTATTTTTATTTCAAAAAGTTTTTCATTTTTTTGGGAATCTTTGGTCGATTTATGACATTGAATAAAATTAAGGATAACCATAATTAATGTTTAATTTTGAGATGAACATGGTTTTCACGCATTTGATGTATGCACAAATACTGCTGTGAAATAAAATGTCTGAATCCAAAAGTTGAAATTTATAATACCTTTGTTATTTTTAAAAGTACTGAAAGAGATTGTGAGTACATCAGTTTGAATATTTTCTAATTGTGTTGATGTAACTAGAGTTAGTGAGTGAAAAATCTTTAAACTTTGTATAATTGTATAAATACCATATAATCATTTTTTGAATGGTTGATAAATTCATGCATGTGCCAAATTCAAAACATGCATTGCATTATTATTATTATTAATCAAATGGGCACCTTTTTATTCAACCTTGACAAGGATTTTTTGAGTATTATGTACCTAATTTGAACAAAGTATAGACTCTAGGATCCAAGTCTCATCAGATAAATGATGGTAGTCAGAAAGCTTGCATTTAAGACACAACAAATAGTAAAAACCCACATCAAATTAAAAAAAATCTTGATTAATATAATCCTTGCTGAAAAGGATATGATTATGTATATGTTTTTTTGGAAACATTCTTGGATCCCTATACACAAAATTATATATTTACAAGGAATTTGTGAAATAACTTTAAATAAAAATACAGAACGCAAATTTTTCTTTTAAATGCAAGGGAAGTTAATTTTATCTAAAATTATAAAAACGAAATTGTCATTGATAACTATTGTTGTAATCAATTAGTAATGAAATGATGTATAGAATATTGAAACATGATTGAAATCTTTCTAGCATGATATGGTATAAATTTCATTGCATATCATTTTTCAGAAAAAAAAAAAAAAAAAACAAAACAAAACAAAACAACAACAACAACAACAAAAATAAAACATGATGCTCTGGAGTCCATTATTATTTTATAAAACAAATTACTCTCGAGTCATTAATGCATTCCATTACAATTATAAATAAGTAGTCAATTATTATTTTTTTAACCTTAAACATTCTACCAAACAACTCAACCCAATTAAAAAATTGTACGAGAAATACAAATAGTAATTTTGAACAAAATCCAATTTACTCGAATTGATTCACTAAAAGCAACCTGAAATGGAACACACAAATAACACCGGCAATAACTTTTTTGATTATGAATTTATTTTGATAACATAAAATTAGATGCGACCAAATAAATAAATAAATAAATAATCAGAGTGCTTTATGCTTTTAAATCACAGATTGATAGTAACGTCAAATGGTTTTGTATTTCTCTGCTCTTTCTCTGAGGGTTCAGGAGTAAAACACTATATTTCATTCATACATTCATCCACTAGATGGATGAGCATTAGGCTCCAAATTTCCAAAAGGTAGCCAAGTTGAAAGAAAAAGATTCCCACTTCTGTGGAAGTATACTTTAAAGTCAAAGCACAGCCCACACCCGATGCCATACCAGTTAATAATAGAAAACCCAAACCAAACGCAGGACTTGAATGTGAAACTTGATCAGTTTTAGCTTCATTCTAGAAGCTTGGTTTCGAAATGTGTTAACGAATAAATATAGGTTTACGTTTTTGAAAACCAAGTGGTAACAAATTTCACTTTGGTACACTTATACAATATGCACAAATGGTGGGATTAATTCATGCTTATATTGCTAACTTAATGTGCTCACAATTGAATGGAATACTTTGTTTTAAACTCATGGAAAAATTATGAATATATTGCAGTTTATGATGGTGTTTGATTAAAATACATGATGCCCTTTTTCACGATACTTATCTGTTTAATTATTAGGATTTCAATAGAATTAAAGTTCAGGATTCAAAAGTTTTGATGTGCACATTCCAACCATAAAATGCCAAGATAGCTTGATAGGAACTAACATGTGGGCTCCCTTGCTGTTACAAATAGATAGAAATGAGAATGGAAAACTGAAGACTAACAGGAAACTCCACTATAGTAATGTGATGTCTTTTCTTGCAAACCCATATGCCAGGAACATGTGGTATGTAAATTGACACACTATTGATTGTACATATGTAAGTGTGTCATACAAATAAAGAAATACTAAATGCTTGTTTTTACTTTTCAAGGATGTTTGGAATTGGTTTCTGATGTAGGATTGATAACTACTGGAAGGAACCCACAACCTGAAAGAAAGCATATACATATCTCACAATACAAAATTCCATTGCTGAAAAACTCGAAACCACACTCGAGACCCCAATCCCAACTCCTGACCCACCATCACAATGGATCCCGTTAGAAGAATGAACAAACGGATGACGCAAACGCATTTAGACGAATGATAACGGACGATGAATGTCATATGAAAGTAATTGGATGTGGATGAAGAACATTGTGGATGGATGAAGAAGCGGAGGCGCCGGGACGGGGCAGGGAGGGGATATATCCGATGGCTGCCTCCCGGACTGGGCGCAGCGCTCTATGAGCGCCGAAGACGTTTCGGTGTCGGTGGGTCCACGGATCCATCCATGGTGCCCAGTGTCCCCACTATCCACGCCACTAGCACCCCTAAACCACGCCTTCATGACTTCCTAGACATTTCTAGCTCCGACCATGAGGCTCGGGGTCAAAAAAGCTTCCGGGACACGGAGGAAGGCGTAGGATCGATCGGGATTGTGAACCTGCGAGACGAGACCTACTCCATGTACCTATTGGTCGATCCTACCGCCTGTTTCTGGCTGTTGCCCCCCTTTGACGTTCCCTGCTCTAGCATTCTCTCTCCTGCTGGCCACGTTCTCGGCTTTTCCCCCTCTCCCCTTGCATGGCCGCATTTTTTTTTTTTTTTTTTTTTTTCCTCCCTTCCGCGTTTTTGAGTTTCTTGCGCTGCTGTTAGTTGTTATTATGCCCCGCTCCACTGCTCTGTTTTGTTGCTTCTCATGATCGCTGTGGGTTGGACTGGATTGGAGTCTTCTCTCTGGAGTTTCGTCTTGTGGTGTGCGGGGAGAACTGAACCTTATTCTCAGTTGCTTGCTTGCGCAAAAGCGAGCCTGCCGCCAATAGAGGCGGACCTTGCGTTAGATTCCAGGTTCTGAATCCCATGTGGATCTTGAATTTACTGTAACGCGGCAACAGAATCAGTATCTTTAGGGCGTGGTTAGCTTGAGGATTGTGCAGAGAGGGGCAGTCCGCAAAGAAGTGATCAAGCTGCCAATATTCATGCGGGAAAAGCATCGTGGCTGCTGGAATCTTGCGATCGGGAATCTCGCAGGAAGGGCGGAACAGGTTGAGCATTTTGGTTTCAGCAGCAGTGTGAGTTGCTGAAATGCTAGAGGAAATGGAGCTTCAGATCTGGATTACAGATGGGGTCCAGTGTCATTTCGGCCTCGGCCACGAGCTCACGCAGCTTAGATGTCAATGGCCGAGATGTGTTCAATTTTTTGCATAAGGTGCGACTGGTTTTTAGTCTTCTCCATCATATAGCTCTCACGACGTTGTCGTCCCGATGTATATGTCCTAGACTCTCCCAGAGAACTCAAATCAATCAGTTCCCCATCGTCCTGGGAGATGGAGACTCAGGGTCAGTGCGCACAGTGGGAGTTCATGCAGCTCTCGAATGGTAGACGATTCTTTCTTTAGGTTGCACTCTTCCACATTTCTCAATTCTAGGCGAAATGGCGAGGTTTTCCGTCATTTCGGGTGAATGAGACGTGACCCAGCTCACACGCAATAATGGCTTACTCTAACTAACACTTTCTTTTAAATCAAGCGTTCTGGCGGCAACGATGATGTTCTCGTTTATGTGCTACAGGGAGAGGATAGATTAATTTAAGTCGGGAGACGGAGCTGAGTAAGGAGTAACGATGGATTTGAGAGACGCGCAAAAACCGAGGGGTTGGCTGTGGAGGACGAAGAAGAATAGCTTTGGGGAAGGTGGGATTTCCCCTCCTACGGTTAAGCTTTTCGACGAGCAGGTGTCTCATCATTCTCTCTCTCTCTCTCTCTCTCTCTCTCTTGCTGTCTGATTTCTTCCTTGAGCATTACTGCTGCGGGTCCTTGCATCTGTTATTAGCACAGGAGCTTCAAAACCCTGATCATCAATCGGCATTGGACCGAAAATGGAACTGCAGTCGGCGCTTTCTAGCCATCCTTCTTGAATTTCTGAGCTCAAGTGTGGCATCGTGCAGGAAGTCGCCAGGATACTGGAAGACCAATTCCGGATCCAGAAAGAAGAATTGGACTGCACCCTTCGTGAAATAGATGAGAAGTACGGCGAGAAAGAAAAGACCACAAATGAGAAATTGAATAAGGCTCTTGCTGAGATAACTGTCAAAGATAACCTCGTCAAGCAGCATATCAAAGTCGCGGAGGAGGCTGTGATCGGTATGCTCGGTTTTCCCATGAACTCCACCTGTTTGGTCGTGTGGTAGATGTTTTAGAACGTTGTGTTTTGCGGTTACACTGCAAGCTCTTAGTCATGCTGGTTTTTTAGGGTGGGAGAGAGCAGAGAATGAGGCGGCCGAATTCAAGCTGCAACTGGAGTGCGCCTTGCAACAGAGGCTGGCCAGCGAGGACCGCGTGGAGCATCTGGATGGCGCCTTGGAAGAGGCGATGAAGCAGCTTCGCAGCGCGCGTGAAGAGCAAGATCAACTCGTTCATGAAACTATTGTGAAGAAGACTCAAGAGTATGATAAACTCCGGTTAGAGATGGAGTCCAAACTGGCGGAAGTGTGGCACATTGTGGGACAAACGCGAGCCGAGCTTATTGAATCGCGAGCTGAGAACAAGGCTCTCACTCACGCCTTGCAGGATCGTTCGAAAATTCTAGCAGAGGGAAAGGATAATATGGCTGGTTCAGAGACTGATATGAAAGCTCTGCAGGTAAGAAATACTCAAGAATGTGATGTATCCCTTCTATACCCAGCACATTGAGCAGCTTTGCAGCGCAGAGAACAACTTTGAACCCCCTGGGATCCAATCATCGAGAACATCGTTTAAGCTTTCAGTTTCTTTGGGTTTGAAATCACCAGGTGCAACTCGAGGGGGTGGTGAAAGAAAACATGGCCCTCAAGTATGATATCCACGTGATAACCAAGGAGCTTGAGGTTCGTATGACAGAGCTGGAGCTTGAAAGAAAAGCATCAGATATGGCGTCGAAACAACACGCAGAAGTCGTGAAGAAGATCGCCAAGCTTGATGAGGAGTGTGACCGTCTTCGCATGTTGCTCCGCAAGAAGCTTCTGAGTAGAGCCTCTTTCCCATCAACAATTTCCTTCGTCATTCCAAATGAATTAAATTTGTATTAATTGTTAGTTTCATCAAAATCCTAACCCTTCATGAGAACTAATCTTTTTTCACAGATTCCACAGCGCTGGTGCGGGTGAAGCAGGACGTGGGTGGTTCCGGAAAAGATCATCCTAGCAAAGGGAGTCCACGCAGGAGACCCTTGGGAAGGAGCCAAAGCGCGACAGACCCACAAGAGGCCATCGCTCAAGAGACTTTGCAGGCAATCTTGGATGCTAATGCTTCGGTCGACAAGATCCTCAACTTGGAGAAGGAAACGCGAATGCTCAAGGAAGCCCTCGCCAAGCGGAACGATGAGCTACAAAACGCTCGCTTCATGTGTGCGAAAACTGCCAGCCGTCTCTCATTTATGGAGGAAGAAGTTCAGACATTGAGAGCACCTTCGAAACCTGCATCATCAAAGAAATGGCCATCAAATGATTCCTTCCCCAGACGCGGCACTTCCCTAAATTTTGAGCTTATGGACGATTTCGAAGAAATGGAACGGTTAGCAAATTCGCAGTCTCAGTCGCTGTCAGCATCCAGCCCCGAGCGCTCAGTTGAGACCGCTCTAACAGTGTTTGGTGCTGTCGACGAATCGACTAATCAGCTACGGATTGTGTGCCTTGAAGAGACGGTGGCTTTGAGGGACAGGGAACTTGAGGCAGCGAATCAAATGTGCCAGGAACTTGGTGAAAAGCTTTCCGTGGCCGAGGGACAGCTAGCGTTTTTGCAAAGTAGGAATACTGCAAATGAGCAGTTAGTCATTGGGTTACAAGCCAAGTTAGATTCGTTGCTGGAGAGGCGAGCAAACTCTGAAGGGGGTACTGCAGTTTCTGGCAATGGTGAAATTGCTATGGCGCTTAGGAAACTGGTGCATATCATTGAAGCTCTTGCGCAAGCCACTGAGATCGAATCAACACCCATCACATCCAGGCACCATGACGCGACGAATGCGAGCGAAACTTCTATTCTCTTGTCAGTGCGCTGGCACGACGAGATGGTAGATAGTTCGATGAGAAGCCTTTTGCGAGCTACAAATGGGTATCTCGAAAGTGGTGGAGATATTTTGAAGCTTTTACTGGAGCTCACGGCCACCTTAGATTGCATTTTGACCTTCCACATTTCCGCCAACGAAAAGGAGCAGAGAGAGAGGGATAGCTCGGCAAGTGAACGGCTGGCGATAACTATGGAGCTAGAGTCAGCAAGGGTGATGATATCGCAGTTGGAAGAGGAGCTGTGCAGATTAAGAGTGGAGCATTCGGATATGGAGCCTAGGATTCAAGAAGAAGTTGGTCATAATCTTGACGTTGATGTTATGCAATTGAGGACGGAGAAGAATGAGCTTGAGAGTAATTTGTCAGGAATGAACGAACAGCTCGTCGAGGCCAATGCTAAAGTGGCAGCCTTGCGTGTGCGATTAAGTGAATCTGAGGCTCTTGTGAAAGAATTACAAGCACTACAGGTGATCACTCAATCATAAAATTAGACATCATCAATGTCTAATTAATGTACGCTGTTGGCACTGAGAGTTGTTGATGTCTCGTGCACTGAATTCTCGCGACACTTGAAAACTCGTTCAGGCCGCACATGACAATGAAGACAATAAAGAGGGGGATTTGTCAGAACAAGACATGCTGGAGCGCTCGTCAACAGGTCTCTGCCTATCCGCGAGCCCGCGAGATGCAAACGCTGAGAAGCATCAGCTTTGTGATAAAGTTGCCAGTCTGGAAATCGAGCTGCAGCGCGAGCAATGTCGCCACCAGGAGGTTGTGGCAAAACTTAAAGACATCCAGGAACAAACCCAAAGGTAATGAAAAAAAAAAAAAAAAAAAAAAAAAAAAACGCTGTTCACTCTTCCACTAGTATATGCTTACTTAGAAATTCGTTCGGCTTTCACACTTCCATGTCAAGCAGGGGCTGACCGAAACGATGAACCATGGGAATCAGAGGAGTTGGACGAACGGATCATTCATCAGGAAGAAGCACAGAGCTCGAGAACAGCTTGCAACTGGCAGCTGCGGAGGACAAAGCGTCCAAAAGCGCAGTGAAGGAGAACGAAACCGCTTCATCTGCACTTGTCATTCACGACCCACATCAAAATTCCCCCATACCAACTCCCGCGTCTCCAGATTCCACAGAAAAAACGACCCAGACACCGGAAATTTATCGGTCGCAAGCAGAAGAGTCAGCAGATACGACCGCTCCTCCGGTCCATCCCGTCACCAGCCTAACCTGGGCTTCGAGATCAACCCACTCCACCCTACCAGGTATCCTTCACCAGCAAACCAACAGCCGCTCAGAATCATGCAAAAACGGCACGAATGCAACAACAAATTGTCCGCTGCTGCTCAGCGATGCATCGCAACCCGACAGCATCGGTGGGGAATCAGGTTCTAATACCGCCTCGCCGCGACGCGTGCTGCGAAGCGTTCGGACCATTCGTGGATTGGCCTCGGGTCTGAAATTGGCGAACGACAGCCCGAGGGGCGACGGCACCTGCGTGGATTCGAGGAGCACGACGTCGTCGACGCCGTTCAGCCGATTCTACTCGCGATCACAAAGCGAGACCAGCATGTACTAGGATCACTCCATCGCTGGTCCACCGTCAGCTCCCCACACGAACGTCGGAATTCAAGCCCTAAGAATACCCTAGCCCTAAAAAGTCTAAGAATGCTTTAACTCCACAAGGGTTGATGTTTCTGGGTTGTGAGTGTAATAGTCTCCGTGGAAAAATGATTCCTCTAGTTGGGTGGATGATTTTTGTATGATAAATTTCTGGTTTTGCTAGTGATTGTTTGAACATGTTTGTATAACAGTCAAGTATTTTTTCGGTAGGCAGCATGTGCTTTGAAGGTAAAGGATTTTTTTGGTGTAATTTTGGACACTGCAGGTGATTTATATGAGTTTGGTTGACTCTTCGTTTTTGCTGGCTTGGTTTCTGTGGGAGTATTTTTTTGTGTTTGTTGATTGTAAATGTTACATTTCTTTGTTTTACTAGGTTTCCCCAATCTATCTTTAATGAGTCAAGTGATTTTTCAGAGGTTTTTGTATGGAATGCTAGAATTTTCGAATATGTGTATTTAAATTTATTCTGTAATTGTCCGATACTAAAGAAAGTAAACCATAAAGCTTTTAAAATAATTTGTTTAACGAAATTCGCTTTAACATTTCACTTTTTACATGTTAAAATATGGTTGACTTCTAACCCCTCAAAATTTGTCATGTCAAAATCTCAACAAATATCACATAATTATTCAAATTCTTTTATAGCCTTTTACATTTGTGGTCACCAAAAATCTCTAAGCATTAGCTCCAAAGTCTTATTGTATCTAAAATATCATATTGTTGATAAGTCATGATTTGCTTCAAGAACATATTAATATACTTTTCTTTGTAGAACATACAAGCGACTTTCAAATTAGAGTAGGTTGTAATTAAATTAAAACTTAGAGATATCATAAAACTTAAAAGAATTATTCTTGATATCATAAAGAAGAGAATTAGAAGACATACTTAACTAAATTTTCTAGACAAAGATTTAATCAACAATCAATGTTGATTTTATTGCTCAAAGATAAAATTGCTCAAGCTTTAAGACAACCATTCTTCATTGATAAAAAGTTGCATCTCTTTCTTTTAGTACAAGATAAGAACATGTAGAGAGTGTACTTGATAAATCTTGTTATTTTTTAGATTAATATGTAATCTTAAAATCAAATCTTGAAAATGACATGCTCCAATGAGTTTGGCAATAATTCAATATGTATATTAACATGAAGTATATGAGGTTCTTATGATTTATATACATGGTGTTATATGGTGTGATTTTCTATTTGGAGATACATTTGGTACTTAACTGTAGAGATTTTAGCTTTAATTTATTTGCCAAACTTTAATAAATAATTTATTCTTATTATAAAAGATAAATAAACATAATAATATATAAAAATATTTTAATAGTAAAAACCTTACATATTTAAAAAGGTTTGTATTTAAGACTTTTCAAAGCATCTAAAAATGCCTTAACATCCTTTGTTATACCAAATCATAACTAATTATTTGTGATTAAATTAGATTTTCCATAAGCTCAAAGAAAATCCATAATCTCTTTAAAAAAATCCATCTTTTTATCATAATTTTTTCATAGCTCTATATCTCTATTTTTAAAATATATATAAAGTCTTGGCTTCTAAAAATTTCTTTATTTTGTATAAAATATCCAAATTGTAGCAAAACCCTTTCAAAATATTTTTTTCTTACAAAGAATTTTTTTTCCTTATACTTTAAAGTATCATATTTTTTAATCCAACCATTTAATTTTTTTCAAATTTCTAAATAATTTAATATTTATCCTTAAGCTTTGCTACAAAAAAATAAATTATAAATCTACTATAGATCATTTGGCATCTTAGAATTCCTAATAGATGCTCTAAATCCTAATTTATAAGTACCTAAATACCATTTTTTCATATTTCAAAAATCCAAAATTTAAATAACACAAAATTTGGTGTATAGCTTTATAACATAATAATACATATTTATGAAAAGTTTTAGCTAAAGATTCATCCAAATGCTTAAGATATGGTTAAAACCAAATCCTTCATGAAATTGGTTCACTGACAAACTTCAATTTGTATACACTGATTTCAAGCAATCATTGCTTTTCAAAATTAATTATATTTTTTTTCTTTTTGTATGAAAAAAATAGCCTTTTAAACCAAATTTCCAATTGTACAATCTGATCTTTAGAAGCCTTTCATATGCATGTACTATGCCCCAAAGAATGATAGTAGGTACAAAATCAACATCTTAACTTTAAGTGCCTATATCTTCTTTACAAAGCCTCCAAATTACACAAAAAATTTAACATAAACATATCCAAAATCCTAAATTTATTAATATGAATCTTTAATATTTGAATGGCTCCAAAAAAATAACTCTAATTCCTACTAAGGCCTAAAGAAGCCTCCTTGAAGCCTATTGGGCATAACTTTTGGTTAATAAGAAAAGAGATTTTCATCATCCATCTCTATTCATCAATATGTTTGGCTTAATTATTCTTTTTTATATAAATTTTTTTATCTAATCTTTTATTTATTAAGTATTATGTAATATGTACCTTAAACATCAAATAAAAGAAAAAAAAAAAGATTTAATGAGATTCCAATGTCTAATAAAGGTGACTCTAAACATATAAAAACTATCATTAATATAAAATCAATATCAATAATAGCTTTTTAAATTAATTACTTCAAAGTAGTAATTTAATTATATTTTGTATCAATTAAAATCTAATAACATGGCTTTTATTATATTATATAATATATTATATATTAAATATAGAAATATATATTATTTTTATATGAAAATCAAAAAATAAGTCAATAACAATGACAAGATTAGAAGCACCTTTTAGAAAATATTGCCATTTCTAAAAAAAAACTACAACTGCAAGAAGTTTATTTATTGTAGATTAAGTAGTTGATCGATATTACTCAAAATAATTTGGAATAAAAAGCTATTAGATAGAGTTAATCAATTACTTTTATTTGTGACAATATTACATCCAAAAAAAGTGTGATGCATTTTTTTTATAAAAAATGCCTTAAAAAAGTTGATGCAATACAAAAGTCGTGATACCAAACACGTTACAACTATAAAGAAGCTACAAACAAGGATTGAAAGTAGAATGTTATCTTGCCTAGATCTTATTTCTTTTATAAGGAAGGTTTTTATCTTGATTTTGATGGATGTCGTCAATGAAAAGCCTCCATCGCCTTTGTTGTATTTCAAGATTTTTTATTGGCTCTCATGTGCGTTCACTAATATCATATCCATGCCAATGGACAAAATATTCTAATTTATTTCGACACCACCTTGAATCTATGACTTCGTCTACTTTGAATTCTTCATTATTGTCCACTTCTATAGAAGGAGATGGAACTTGTCTTCTTCTTGGTATATCCACTATCTTGTATGGTTCAAGAAGAGATATGTGGAATACTCGATCGATATTCATTGACTCCGATAGGTGTAAATGATATACAATTGGATTGATTTGTGTAGAAATAGAAAATGGTCTAAGCCTTCGATAGTCCAACTTATCACAAGAACAAGTGGTCTTGATATTGTGACGAAGTAACCATATTTTATCACCCATGTAGAATAATAGTTGTTCTTTTGGATAGACATCCACATTGATCTTTTGTTATTCTTGAGATTCTTTTAACTATTCCTTCATTGTTACATGTAGCTCTGACAAAAGATTTATCAAATCTTTTGCAATAGGATTATCAGCTTTTGAAAAGTCAAAAGTATCAAGTCATGGATGATAACCATAATTGGCAAAGAAAGGTATTTTTTTTGTAGAAGAATGTACCGTGTTATTATAAGCAAATTCTACCAATGACAAAAGAGTTGTCCAATCACCTTGTTGGTAGTTGATGGTACATCTTAAATATTGCTCCAAAACTTGATTAACATGCTCCGTTTGTCCATCAGTTTGAAGATGGAATGCCAAAGATAGTTTTATATCCACTTTTAAAATCTTGAAAAGAATCTGCCAAAATCTTGATACAAACTAAGTTTTCCTATCTGATATAATATCCTTGGATAATCCATGATAGTGATAGATATTATCAAGAAAGAATTTAGTTGTTTCTTTACTTGTGATAGATTTTATACATGGTACAAAATGTGCCATTTTGGCAAAATGATCTACTATCACAAATATAGAGTCATAAGAACCTGAGATTGGAAGATCCGTGATGAAATCTATAGAAATAAAAGACCATGGTTGTTCTGGAATAGGTAATGGCTGAAGAAGTCCATGATGTCGATGATGAGGAGTTTTTGATCTTGAGCAAACATCACAAGATTGTACAAAATCTTTCATTGTCTTTCACATTTGGAGCCACCAAAAATCCCTGGATATTAGTTCCAAAGTTTTATTGTACCCAAAATATCATGTTGTTGGAAAGTCATGATGAGCTTGAAGAACACATAATTGAGTTTCACCTTCTGGAACATATAGGCGTTCCTCAAAATATAGTAGATTGTCCTTGAATTCAAACTTGATAGTGACATGAGACTTTGAAGGATTCTCTTGTATATCATGAATAAGAGGATCTAAAGACATACTTGACTGAACTTGCTTAATAAAATTTGAATCAACAGTTAGTATTGATTTCATTGCTCAAAGATGAAGATGCTATAGCTTCAAGAGAATTATCTATTGGTAATCAAAAGCAACATCTCTTTCCTTTGGTACAAGGTGAGATCGTCTAGACAGTGTATTTAATAAACCTTGTTGTTTTTCCAGTTGATAAGTGATCTTGAATTCGAATCTTGACAAAGATATATTTCAATAGGCTTGGTAACAATTCAAAATACGTGTTGATATAAAATATTCAAGGTTCTTGTAATCTGTATATACTATGAAAGGACTAGGAGCACCTTCTAGATGATGATGCCATTCTTGAAACAAATCCACAATTGCAAGTTCTTTGTCGTGGTTCTCGTAGTTGATCTTGGCCATTGAAAATTTTTTGGAATGAAAAGCTACTATGTGAAGTTTATCATCTGTTTCCATTTGTGACAATATAGCACCCAAAGTAAAGTCTAATGTGTCTGTTTTCATAAAAAATGGCTTAAAAAAATCAAGGCGATACAAGATTGGTGCAGAAACAAAGGATGTCTTTAAAGCTTCAAATGTTACTTCTGCTTCTTGATTCCATTGAAGTTTGTCTTTACAAGTCAAACGTGTAAGTGGAGCTGCAACTTGAGAGAAGTCTTTATTGAAGATCTGTTGTTCTCGTTGTGTTCAAACTTAAATATACCAAAGTAATTGAATTAATATAGGTAGGTTCGAATACGAAAAAAGACTGGTTATATGAATTGGGTCTATTAGTGTCACAATTGACTAT